CTAAAGAAGAGCTTTATTCATATCTGTAGATACTGTACATATCTTTGTGAGTCATACATGAACTATTGTATAAAATTAATTTGACTGTAAATAAATTACACTTGTGGGTTGTCATGATTAAGGGAAACGGATTCTTGTTGGAAGCAAGGGAGGCAGGACGGATAGTAGGTAGGGACTAAAAGGGACTTGGTAATCGATGCGTCATTTTACCCACTGACAAAATCAACCAGCCTCACCTAGGTGGACAGGCCACCTTACTTAACCTAGAAAAGGAACATGTAAATTATATGTGTTCAATAAATAGTGGGGAAGGCATTATGAATGTTTCACATTGGAACACCTTACTAGACACCAGGATACCCTCCTCCTCTCTCATGTCCAATAAATCTGGAAAGCCAATTAGACATTACCTCCAATTAGACAAACATCCCCAGTTGGGATATTTATAATGTCTCTCTGTTTATTCTCTGACATTTAATAAAAGGCATGCTCACACTGTAGCCTTCTGCTGTTTAATTAAAGACAATCAACAGGGAGACACAAATCTACAGAAAACCAGCCTTTATTAATTTTGCTGCCCTCAGAGTTATTTGTTTGCTTTCTGCCATACCCATTAAGACAGAAACTAGTAATGTCTCACAGCCAAATGATTTATAAGGATTTAATGCTGAAGACAGGAAAAGAAAAGTCCTGGAGCACTGAGGTGCTGGCACTGGGATGGAGTGATGGCAGAACACATTTTTGTGTATGTAAGGGGCCCAAAATGTGTCTGAGCCAATTGTTCATTAGACCATTAGTGTCAGTAGCAGCCTGCCTGGGAGGAGGAATATGCAGATCCCTCTCTCTTCCTCACAGGTAATTTCCTCAGCGTGGTGGTGTAGCCATTGTTATTGTAGTTACGACTCCAACTCAGACACTAATAAATTACAAGGTAGAACTTTCCATGTCCTGCTGCCAAAGAAGGGTATCAGACAGAGCTGGGAAATCCAGATCTAGGAAAACTTAAATTCACTTTCCAGATCCAGTGGAGTAGCAGACAGGATTCAGCAGCTGACTTAAAATACAACTCACTGCAGTCAGTCCTGACTTTCAAACAAGAACATGACATATTCACAGCAAAGAAAAGTTAGAGTTCATTGGGAAACAAATTTAGCTATGATCATACTGATAGTCTCTTTCAACTAACAGCAGCTCTCTGAAGGAAGCCCAGGCTGTCCTTATGCCAGGGCTGTGGGTGGACCCAGCCATAATGGTGGAAGGTGCTGTCCCCAGTTGCCTGCCTCCAGCCTCTTGCCAGAGGTTAGCCCCATGAAGTCTGACACAGGTGCTTTTTAACCCATTTCAGACAAAATGAACCATATCAGCTTATGCAGCTCATTTTTGATAACCTGATGCCTTTGGTTGCAATGGTGTACATGAAGAAATGCTTAGATAGGAGACAGAAACCCTCTGCAAGGTGTAGTGATGGCAGCTGAGGACTGGCTAATGATCAACGGCTTCTACTGGTACAGCCATTTGTGGAGTTCACATCTACCTAGTAAACAAAACCTGTAAGATTATACTTTAGAAAGTCTGTCACTCCAGCTGCTATCACTGTAAAATTTTTTCACGTTGTACCTGGTCATTTTTCAACACCAAATTCTAATTCACAGCCAAGCACCAGATGCTGTGATATGATCCTTCCCAGATGTAAAATCTCCGGTGGTTCTGTCTACAAAATAAAAGCTACCCAGGAATATCCTATTTCATTTAATACCAGTCTTGGAAATCTTCCACCTGGTCATTCCAGTAGAAAGTGTAACCAGACAGTGCACATGTAGTTTCACGAGAAAGTGGACAGCTATTTATAACCCAGGGAACACAGCAGGCCTGGAGCACTAGCACAAACAAACACACAAACAATAAGACATCATCATCATCCAGAAGAACACTCTGAGATTATTCTGTCCTTTAATGCCACAGTCCTATGATTTCATCTTCACAGGTAACACAAGTTTATTTGAAAGGCACTGCAGCAAGCTCATAGTTATATGGCCAGATCTGTCCTGGCTGCCATAGCAAGGGAAAGAAAAGGCAGACGTGATGACACGGGAATCTCTCCGATCATAGCTTCCTCTACTTTTACCTGCTACCAGTGAGCGCTTGCCAGAAACCTTTTTGCGTATGTATTATGCAAGATTGGCTATTTTCTCCCAGTACTCCCATGACCACTCATCCGCTTTTGAAAGCGGAAAACCTCTCTACAACCTTTTCTCCTACTTTGTTCTAGGACACAGAATAATAGTATGTAAGATTTAGTGGGATTTTCCACCATCTGCAATAGATGATAGCTTCTCCAGTACAGTGCACAAACCAAAGTTAGAAAATTAAGTTTCCACATCATCAAGGGAATGTGGGAAAAGGAAAAGAGAGCAATTCAGACCTGTGAGTTTGATGCCTACCTAGAGTAAACCAAATCATGTAAATACTGCTTCTTTTCACCATTTAAGGTAGAAACAATCGCAAAGGTCCGATTCCTGTAAACAGTACGGACTTTCAATGACTCCTATGCTCCGATAAGAGTTTTACAGGTTTAACCAGCTTCTCATTTTGCTTTCTCTCCTGTGTTGATAAATACTTCTCTTATTCAGATTACTGGAAGACAATAATGATGTCCAAGTTTGGAGAAAAAACACCTTCCTGGGCTCAAGTCACTGGTCTTCTGTTACTCAAGGACGTTTCAGATTAACAAAAATAAGGAGTCAAGGAAACTGGATGCATGAGCAGTAACAAAGACTTTAGCATTTTCAATTCAGTTACTGAGTGCACAACTTGGCTATCTCGCACGATAGCGTAGCCTATGTTAGCAACTCTGGTGTGCTCAACCACCGCTCACGCCTTCTGCTTTAGATTTCTGTGCCAGCCTGACTGGAGACAGCCTCTTCTTTTTACAAATACCAAACGAGTCAGAGCAGTATGCCTCAGCAAAAAGGCCTCCGGAAGCTTCTTTCAGAGCAGGGCAATCAGTGCTTTTCAGCCTTTGGCCCACAAGTTGTGCATTTCTACCAAAAACTGGCCTCCATCGGAAACCCCTGGGAAACGCAGGCCTGCACTCATTCCTGTTTTCCAAAAAGCTTCTGTTGGCCCTGGACAGGACGGGGCTGGGAGCTCCTGCAAGGGAGCTACCTTCCGCCTCCCCGGAGCGTGGCCCAACACTGCGGGCAACCGTTCGCCTGCACAACCCCTGCCAGGTGATACCACCCACAGGGCTGCCGGGGAAGGAGGGAGACA